AGTCCAGGGCCATGGCCAGTAGCAGGTGTGGGGAGGGCATGAGGTTGGTAAGTGGGGAGAGATGCTAAGGGGGCAAGAGGTGGGGGCAAGGGGCACCTGCCCACCACTATTGCTTTCCCCACTGCATGCCCCTACCTCCACTGCTTTCCCCACTGCAGCAGTGGAGGGGACAAATTTAAGATGGCTGTCTAATAATTAGATCCTATGCATGGAAAATTAAAACACATTTTATAATTTTCCATGCATATAATCTGATTATTGGGAGGTTATCTTGTCTTTGGTTAAATACAGTAACATAGAGCTGTAGTCTGGTATATATGCTGTTGCTGTGCTTATCAACCTGGTATCTGGGCTCCTAATGGTAGCCAATGGTAGTGTTGCACTCTTGTAAAGCTAACTGTGGGAGAAACTTTCCCACATAATTCTAGTACAGAGACCCAGAGTGGGTTCCCTGGGGGTGAAGTTCAGGGATCCTGGTCATCTGTTCAAAAATTGCACATTCTCTGATAAAACTCCATTCTCTGATTTGAAAACCCCCAAATCCACATTTTAACACTATTAAAATGAAACACCACTATCTATAGGTATCAGTTGAACACAATGTTTTATTGGTATATTTGTGATTTGGAAGCCTATCAGTGCCTCAATCACTATAATAAATTCTAAATACCTATAAGTATTGGCATTTCATTTTGGGTTTTTATCATGGAAAATCAGAGCTGCCCCTGATTCTGTCACTCATCAGGACATGGGTCCACCTGCAGCTGTCTCCCCGCTCTTCCCCCTCCCCCCACTTTCTGGCACTGAGCAGCCCTGATTTGCTGATGCCCTGCCCATGCCATTGCCCATCACTCCTGACCCACAGCCTCCTGGGCCATGCTGTTGCCCTTCACTCTCCACCCACAGGCTCCTGCCCCACCCCAGCCCTGCCAGAGGTGGGTCCCAGCTGCCAGGGCTACAGGGCCAGGGACTCAGGTCCACAGCCACCTGCCCCAGCAGCGACACCCAAACCCTGGCTGCCACCCATGGGAAGTGGCGGCTGCTGTGGTGGAGCAGAGCCCAGCTCCCCCTCCCCAACAGGCAGCAACGGCCAGAGTGGAGCCCATAGGGGGAGTCAGGCGTGGGCTGCCCATTGCAGGCTCAGGGCTCCACGCCTTGCTGTCATTCCCCTGTGGCCTCTGCTGCCCAGCATTTGGGACCTGGTGCAGCAGAGTGGGACTGTGTGGGGAATCTCATTGCCACTGCTGGGAGCTCTGCACTGCCATGGCAAGTCACCCCTATGTACCCGGGAGCAATGAGGGGTACAGCTCCATGCTGCCACCCCACCTGCTGCAGAACAGGCAGGGAGTGCTTCACCATAGCATTCCAGGGCTTGTAACACTGGCACTGAACTTCCCCACCCCACTCTGTCTTGCCACATGGGAATCCGTCCACTGGGCAGTGAAGGTTCTGGGGGGGGCAGCAGGGCAGGGAGCCCAAGCTTGCCGGGGGAAGCTCACACCTGCCCCCACCCTGGTGTATAAATCTGAGGGACACGTTCCCCCCCATACCCTCCCCAAGAGCACATGCAGCAGCAGGGAGCCAGCCCCCTGCCACCCAGATGAGCCACCCACAGCCCTGTCCCACTCCCCACTTGGGCCCTCCGATCCCAGGCCCCACGCCCCACTCACCACCCAGCTGGGCATCATCCCCAGCCCTGCCCAACTCCTTCCTTCCCATGCTAGGAGGGCCTCAGTCCCCACCCCCACTGCCAGACTTGCTTGTGGGGAGCTGTTCTGTAGACTGCCTGGTGGCCATGTGCATATGTATATACACAGATGCACATGGCATCCCCTGCTGATTGCCCTTCTCCCACTCCCCCCAGCCCCTTGCAGGCTGGAACCCTGCCAGCCTCCAAGGGGAAACCCACCATTCCCAGTACTTTTGGGCCCCGGGGGAGGCTCACCTGGGCCTAGAGTGAGTGAGGATTTAGTTAGGGAGCTTCTGGAGGGGCTGGACGTTTTTAAGTCAGCCGGCCTGGATGATCTTCACCCTAGAGTCCTGAAGGAACTCGCTGGGGTCATTGCAAGTCCCCTGGCACGGCTTTATGAACACTCGTGGTGCTCTGGAGAGGTGCCGGAGGACTGGAAGAGGGCCAACGTGGTTCCCATCTTCAAAAAGGGGAGGAAAGAGGACCCGGGGAACTACAGGCCAGTCAGCCTTACCTCGATCCTGGGCAAGCTGTTCGAGAAAATTATTCTGGCACACATCCAGGAGGGGCCAGCAGGGA